GTGAGAACGAAAGAGAGAGAGAGAGAGAGAGAGCCAGATAATGAGGGGGAGGAGGGGACAATGAGGAGAAGGCAGAGGAGGGGGAAGACGACGAGGACAAAAAAAAATGGCGGCAACAACGACGACGACGTGCACGTCCACGTCCGCGTCGACAACAACAACGATACGACTACGACAATTACATGTTGACTCTACGACTCATTCTGTTGAGTTCCGTGGCGGTATTGCATTCTCGGCTCAGGAAAGCTACAACATGAGACTTCAAGGAGTCCCAGTCATCAGATTTTGTCACGTATGGCGCATCTACTCCCGAAGAACAAAAACAAAAACACTGCCATTTGGGTGTGGATGGTTGGAAGAGGTAGTTCTTCCAACCACCTCTGTCCATTCTGGGAGAGCTTCACCACTCCTCCCATACCCCGTCTCCCTGGGTCTAGACGGGCCCAATCGCGAGCGGTCAGAGCGTCCAAGACGGCCCAAAACGGTCCCAAGAGGGCCCCAAATAGCTCAAGATGGCATGTAATGTCGCACAAGATAGTCCAAGATAGCTCAATATAGCTTCCAGCATGCCTCCAAGAAGCTCCATGGCTGTCCCAAGACGACTCCGAGTAGCAACGGAGCGTTCGAAGGAACCCCCGAGAGCTCCAAATCAGCCCAAGACTTGTAGGAAATCAATGCCTCTTTCGCCTCCGCCGTGTCGCTGTGGGCAAGTGGAAATAAGCTTGGGCTTCTCGCCTTAGGAATGTGTTCAGGCTCTCCGCCTTTTCGCTTCCGCTGGGCTGTTGAGAACTTCAGGTGACTCCAATACAGCCCAAAGGTCCAATAAAGCGCAGGACGGCCGCAAGAGCGCCCAAGAGCGCCCCAAGCTGTCCTCAAGGCCCTCAAGAGGGCCCCAACAGGGCCCCAAAAGAGCCCCAAAGGCGTCCAAAATGTATCCAAAAGAGAAAGAGACGCACGATGGCCCCGAGATGCCTCCGAGTAGCTTCCAGAGCGTGACTGCATGCTGCTATACATTCCTGATCAAATCAACTCGCCTGGTGATTGTTTTTGGATGGGGCGGAGGGGATACCGGAAGCATCAGTTAATTGAAACTTGCGACCAGGTGCCTGCTGACCCAACAAACTATCCAGCGCAAAAAAGGTTGATCCACGATACATCTCCGAGTTGAATGCGAGACGCTGTAGAGCGCACCTCGCAAATCGATCAACATGTCCAACTAAATCGACAACCTGAGACGCCGCACAAATATCCACCTTGCCAATTTGCTCTTGACTCCGTACGGGCGCAAGCGCGTGACAGTCTGCCAGATACATAACTGCCAGCATCATGTCTCAACTCGTTGGACAATTTGACGCGAAGGACGCGGCGTCAGCCACAACGAAGGCCAACAAAGACGACGACGACGAACGACGGCGACGACGAACGACGACGGTGGCGACGGTAACGACGACGACAACAACGGCGACGACGACGACGACAACGACGACGACGACGGACGACGCACGACAGACGACGGACGACGGAACACGGACGACGGCGACGACGCACGACGGACGACGGACGACGCACGACGGACGACGGACGACGGACGACGGACGAGGACGACGACCAACCGACGATGGCGGCGGTGCCTCCGACGGCGGACGACGACGACCGGCGACTGGCGACCAGCGACGGCGACGACGACCCGCGGCGCTCGGCGGCGCACGGCGCTCGGCGCGACGGCCCCGACCGCGGAGGCGCCCTCAGGCCGTCGGGCAGCCTGCGGGAGGCCCGACCCGCCCGCCGCGCGCGGCGCGGCCTCGCCCAGGCCACTGGCCGCGCCCCTCCGCGGCCGCGCGCGCGGGGGGGTCGCGCTCATACGGCCGGCTTCACGCACAAGTGACCCTGAGACAGGTTCGTGTGGTGACGCCAAGGCCGGGTCGACGGCGATGTTGCTCAACGGTGATGCTGGCAACCGAACTGTAGGACATCACGAACCACACTTCCCTACAGTTCCTCTCTGCGAGTAGATCGAGCGAACACGACCCAGCGAGTGGCAGAAAAGCGCGGGCCACGCGTTCCCACAACACCGAAACCTACATCGCCATTGCCTACATCGCCGCCAGCCCGTCTACGGTGACGGCTTGCACGCTGGTTTCTGACACAGCGCCGATCGCACAACCTTGAACGGTCGCTGCTTTCCGATGGCGCGGGCCATCAAATGTCGGCCGATCTCTGGCCACTCGGCGGCACTCCACGCCGAAAGCCCGAGCTGGGGCCGCCACCGGTGGACGCGGCGCGAACCTGCCGGAGGCAAGGGCGAGCTCTGGTGCGCAGGCTTAGGGGGTCGCGGGGGAGAGGGGGGGCACCCCAGGCGCGCAGGCAGCTGCCATTGAAAAAAAAAAAAAACACTGCGTATACATAATTTCTCGGAGGTCCGCGCGGAGTTCCTGGAACGGCGCTGGATCCCCTTCCCTGGCCCGCGGAGCGCGCCAGGGGCGGCGCCGGAAGCGCCGATGTCGCTCCAACCCCCCCTTTGCTCCTGAGCGTTTGGGTATGTCCACTCTCCCCTTTCCCCGTTATGTGCCAAGCCCGTCCCCGTAACCACTTTGGCTTAAGTGCATAATCTCGTGACGAGGCTAAAACGAGCCTCGCGTTCCTAAGGAAGTATCTGTCCTGATCCTCCCCTTACTTCTTTTTCGCCCTCCAGGCCCGAGACACCGCCATAGGGGGCCCAACGCCGATCAAGGAGGTCCGCGCAGAGTTTCGAGAAATTATGTTTATACCATGTTCGGCTCTTCGATAGGAGAAAAAAAATGAAGAAGAAGAAGAAGAACAAGAAGAATAACAACAAAAAAACAATAAAAAACAGCATAAACATAAACGTGTGGCGCTCCGCGCGGATGTCCTGGCTCTGCGCTGGACCCCCCCTCCTTGGGGCGCGGAGCGCGCCAGGGGCGGCGCCAGAGGCGCTGCCTGGGGACCCCGGCGCAGATCCAAGAAATCCGCGCGGCGCGCCAAAAGATTCTGTTTACGCCGTTTCTTTTTCATCTTCTTCTTAGTTGTATGTATAGTATTGTTTTTCATCTTCATCTTCCTCTTGATACTATCATTATCATTAGCTTCTTCTTGTTATCATTCTTAGTATGAATAGTAGTAGTCGCATTATGATGATCATTATCACTAACATTATTATCATTATTCGTCTTCTTCTTCGATTCGAGCCATCGAATGCAGCGACCAGGAGACCCCCAGACCCCGGTGAGCCCGCACAAGAAGGTCACTCTCGCGTGAAGCCGCTGCGGGGGCCGGGGCTCCTCGCCGGCCGCCAGGGCAAGCGCGCCGGGCCCGCCGCGCGCGGTGCTCGCCGCGCAAGGGGCCTGGAGAGGGAGGCCTCCCAAGTGGGCCTCGCCTTCGGCACGTCAAGCTCCGTTTCAGCGACCCCTCCTCCTCGTCCTCCTCCTCCTCCTCCTCCTCCTCCTCCTCCTCCTTCCCCTCCGCCTGCTCTCCTCCTCCTCCTCCTCCTCCTCATCATCACCACCACCACCACCACCACCACCACCACCATCATCATCATCATCATCATCATCATAATCTCACCACCACCACCACCATCGTCATCATCATCATCATCATCATCATCATCATCATCATCATCATCATCATCATCATCATCATCATCATTATCATCATCATCACCATCATCACCATCATCATCTCACCACCACCACCACCACCATCGTCATCATCATCATCATCATCATCATCATCATCATCATCAGATTCAGCATCGGCATCATCAGCAGCATCATTATCCTCATCCTCATCCTAATCCTCCTCATCCTCATAATCATCATCATCGTCATCATCATCGTCGTCATCGTCATCGTCATCATCATCACCACCACCACCACCATCATCATCATCAGCATCAGCATTATCATCACCATCATTATCAAAATCATCATCATCATCATCATCATTATCATCATCATCATCATAATCATCATGGTCATCATCATCGTCATCATCACCATCATCATCATCATCATCATCATCATCATCATCGTCATCGTCATCATCATAAGCACCATCATTATTGTCGTCATCGTCATCGTCATGTCCCCACCGGCGTAGCCAGGGCCTCACCAGCGCGCCGCCAGAAGCTGAATATGTCCACATCCACTGCCGCGGGATGGTGCCCTGGGGCCTCGGGGAGCAGCACATATATGGACATCTGCCCGCCCACGCGGGCGCGCAGATGTCCACATCCGCCACTCCTTGAGATCCCAGGCCACGACCCCGCGGCAGTGGATATGGACATATCTCTGGCGGTGGGCCACTGGCCGATTCACCCCCCCAGATGGGGATATAGGCTGTTCCCTTCGAGTTTCGAGGGGCACATCCCCAACTGGGGTGGTGGGATGGCGGGGACCGGGATGGGGATGGGGATGGGGATAGGGATCGGTTAAACGATACTGACACGTCTCGCCCACAGCGAAAGCTAGCGGAAGGCCGGCGGAAGGCGGCGGAGAAGGAAGTGAGACATCAACAGCGTCGGGATCATGGCTTCCGGAATCGACCAAATGGGGTCCAGGCAGATGTGGTCGGAGGACCGCGCCGCATCGCCGATGCACCGCCGATGAACAAACGACGTCGGGACCGATTCTTAGCATGGAGAAAACAAGTCCTTGACGGTCCCGAGGCCCGTAGACGGCCTGGAGCCCAAAACTGACGAAAAACTCCAGGACCCGTTTCCCTCAGGACCCCTTTTCGGGTGCGCCGATGAGATAGGGGGGGGGGCTAGGAAGGTAAAGGTTAGCGCATCATGGCCAGAGGCATGTGCGCGGATGAGGTGGGGCCACAGAACGTATTGACATAATTAGAGGGGGCGGTTAAATCAAGGGAATAGCATGGCCCCGGCCATGTCCACCCCCCCTCTTTGCCCTCACCCCCCCCCATTGGACGCCCCCGATTCACGGCGACACTCGGGAGGCCTGCACGAGGCCTGCCGGGGCTTACACGAGCACGTCCGCCAACTCCGCGATGTCCGCGTCGTCGAGGTCCTCATCCACCTGCGGGCGCGGTCTGGGCGGACGCCTGCGACCATCTGCGAGCCTGGGGGTGTTGGACACCCGCGTGGAGGTTGACTCGGGGACGCGCTCACCCGGGTCAGCGCCGACGTGCGTCAGCCGAGGCCATGCCGCGAACCGCCGCCAGCCGTAGTCAGTAGCTCCCAGACCCAGAGCAGCGGAAGGAGGCGAGGGCAGACCTGCTCCAGAAGGCGTTCCAAACCACGTCGGCCAAAATACCTCGAAAAACTGTGGCCGACCCCGCCAGCGCTGGCCCCCCGGTCACGTGCGCCCCCATTCGCTTGCTTGTGCCCCTGGCCAGAGGTTGAGAAATCGGACCTGGCGGAGGGAGGGCGGAAGGCTCCGTCGAAGGAGGCTGCTGCTCAGAAGGCGCCCGCCTCACATCTGTAGACAAGGCCCGCGCCTCCTGAGAAGCAGGGGCGCTTCCGAGAAGCCCCCGCGTGGCCGAAGAGTGACCCTGGGCAGGAGTGGACCTCTGGCGCGCGGCTCGCCGAACGCTGCACGCGGCGCGACGAGGACGGCCGCGTGCACTCGGGGTCTGGCCCTCCCGCGCCCCCCCAAAAGCTGCGCAGCACAGATCGCTCTGGCGAAGGGTCCCTCTTGCGTGTGGCCGAGCTTGGGCGGGGCGGGCGAGCCGCCGTCGCCTCAACTGGCCCGGCCCTCGCCCGGAATCCAAATCCGTCCTCCGCGGCGTTGCTCAAACGCCGTCTGCACGTGCCGCTGTCCGCCATGGAGCACCGCGTGCGGTGCCTGTAGCAGACGCGTGTGCACCTGCCGTGCTCGTACGCAGCCCTCCCCCGCCTGAGATCCGACGTCTCGAAAAAACTGAGACATCGTGAAAAATCACGACTGGAGCCCCGGACCCCATCTGTATGCGCCCTTGTTCGAGCCAGATCGATCTGCGAGGGTCCTGGGGCCCGAAACAAGGCGAACATGTACGGCTCGAAAAAATTGAGCCGCCAGGATCTCAGGGCCTCCCCCCTCCCCCCTCTGCGCGTGGCTGAAAAGCTCACGCGTGCTTGCCTACAGGGGGGGGCTCCGAGAGGCAAGGGGCACGCGTGCGGGGGAAGGCCTGCAGAAGTCGGATTTGGGCAGAGGGTACAGCGCGCGAAGAGCCACCCCCCCTCACGAGGAGCACCGGAGTGTCCCCATGTAGGACCACCGTTCGGGTGAGAAGACGGTTGGGAGGCCCCCCCCCGTTGAAGGGGAGGGGCAGAACGCGATCCTTCCTGTATGACGACCGTTCGGGTGAGAAGGAGATTGGGGGGATGGGTGCAGCTTTCGGTTTGCGATAGGCGTCGGGTCGGCTTCGCGACCTGCACAATGTGTTCTTCAACTCGCTATGCAAAGCGCGAAGAATCTTGGCGCGTTGCAGATCCTCACCAGCGCATCCAGAAACTGTGCACACGAGAGCTGACAGGAGAAGGGAGGAAGAGACACGTATAGAGAAACCAAGCAAGCAACAAAGGTGAGCTGACAGATCTCAGGGAGCGAGGGGGAGCTTCGAGAGCATCTGTGGGCCATCATTGGAAGCTGAATGAGGGGCGAGGAGGAGGAGGACAGAGGTCGGAGGAGGCAAGAGGAGAAGGATGGAGGAGGCCTTTGCGCCCTCTGGGGGCCCTTGGGACCCAGCGTTTCTCAGAAGAGCTCGGGCGCTCCTCCGAGGGCAGGAAGGACTCCAGGGAAGCCCGCTGCCCCCCGAGAGAAGGCCGCCCCCCTCGCGCCGGAGAAGGCCGCCCCCCTCCCTCTGCGCGCCACCGCACGCCGTGGCTGGCACCCTCCAGGCGTGGACAGGCGCGTTCCCCGACTCGCAGAGCAGCTACTCGCAAACGCCCTGGATCCACCAAATCGAGACAGCCATGCGCCACTGCATCGAACATCCCGCGTTTGCCCGACGTCTGTGAAGGGAAGCTGGGACACACACACACACACACACACACACACACACATATATATATATATATATATATATATATATATATACACACACAAAAATAAAATGATTCCCCACATTTTCCTATATTTTCTGGGTTTTTGCATCCCCCCCCACTTCCCATGTTTTCCCATATTTTCTGGGGAATCGACGATTCATGGTGTCTGTGTGTGCTTCTTCCCCCCCTGAGTCTGCGAGTGGGCACTCGGCGAGCCGCGGAGCGCGCTCGGCGCAGGCGCGCCTGCGCAGGCGCTCCTCCGCCGCCCAGCGACTGGGCCCCGCCGACCGGCCCTGGCCCTGGCCCGCCTCTGCGACCCCGAGCGGCGTGCGAGGGGCCCGGCACCTGCCCCCACGAGGGCCCGCCTCGGGGGCCCCCCGGGTGGGCTAGGCAGCACGAGGGCAGGGCGAGCGCCAGCCCAGAAGAGAGTGGGTCGGGGATCTCCATCCGACAGGGAGAGGGGAGACCCCTTCCCCCCCCCCCGACGCGCGGGATACTTGTTTTACTGCGGCAAAGCTGCGGCGCGCGGGCGCTCTTCCCCCTTCCCCCTGTCACCCCAGCATGCCCAGCCCTACCCGACCCAAAGCCGGGGCAGGCTAGACTCTCTGCGGGCCGCCGGCCGAGGAAGCAGGGGAGACGTGGGGGGCGCCACCTCCGCTCCCGGAGCGCGCTGCGGAGCGCTCTGAGAGCGCTCTGGGAGCGCTCTGGGAGCGGCGCAGATCCTCGGTTTGGGCCTGCCTGGCCTGGCCGGGGCCCGGGGCCCGTGCAGCTGCGGGTTTCCTCTGGCTCCTCGCTCTCCTCTCTGGAGCTGTGCGCACGAGGCTCGCCTCCAGCATCCGCAGATGGCAACATCACTGCGGATGGGCTCCCGATCACAAGTCACTCCGCCACTCGCTCCTCTGCAACAGGTTCTCCTTCCCGCGAGCACAGGAGAACTGCCCGTCTGAATCAGAGATGCATCGAAAAGTTCGCCCCACAGCGGAGTGTGGCTAAATTGTGCTACTCGTTACTGCTGCCGTCAGCTTCGGATGAGCGCTGAATCAATGAGTACCAGTGAGGGCGAGCGATGGCTGTCGGGTGGGAACGAGTCCCTCGGACTGGTGCGATGGCAGGCCACTTTACAAACCCCCCGAGGACAACACTGAGACCACGGATCGCGGCCAAACCTATACCCTGGTGGAGGCTGGCAAGCACTCACGACCGGAAGGTCCCAGAGATCCACGCGCACGGAACGACAAGGCCGAGCCGCCACCACCGAACCGGCCACATCGCTGTGTTAGACCTGCGGCAATGGTCACGGCCGCCACTGAGAAAGAGCGGCGACGAACAGCCAGTGGCAGCGGGGCTCCAGATCGGCTCAGCTGAGTACGGCCATGGAAACCCAAAGCAAAGGCGGCGGGGGCGCGCGAAGGCCTCCATGGGCTCCACGCCCAACTCCTGCAGCACAGCGGCGGCGCCGGAGGCGACCTGCACCGCTTCCATGGGCTCCACGCCCAACTCCTGCAGCACAGCGGCGGCGCCGGAGGCGACCTGCACCGCTGACCGCCGCACCGGTCCGCAGGGATGAGGCAGCGGCCACTCAGGGGCACCGATGGGGGCGAATAGCCCACGGGGGAGCAATACATGTATCTGGGGGCGCCGATGGTCCATGCCTTCGGCGAGGCTCCCAGTTGAATACGTGTAAAGCCCGCCCCTGGGCTATTCGCCAGTTCAGTCCAAACTGATAGGAAGGATGCGCGATAAGGATGCAAGCCCCTTGGACGCTAGTGTCGAAGCGTTTCGAGCGGGGCTGGCCATCGAAAGTGGTTAAGGATGGACCGAAGAAGCAAGGATGCAAGAGTAACCCCCGCGGGAGGGTTACCCATCCCTATGATCGGTTTCGACTCCAGTGCCCGCCCCATGGGCTATTCGCCCCCCTCGCCACCTCCGAGACACAGGACGCCAAGACAGACCAGTGCACTTCGCAGCGCATCTGGGGAAACCAGAAGGTACCAATACTGATACCTCCATACCTCTCCCAGGGCGCGTTCTGACCAGGATTTCGCGGCGAATCCAGCGGTGGCGACGAGGGCCTCCCAGGAGGCCCTGGAAGGGGAAAACGAAGGAAGGATAGCGGTATGGGTACCTCTTCCTCCTACGAGCCTCGTGGAAAAAGATTCGGGGCAGCACTGCACGTGGGAGGGGGGGCGGCCCGGCCGACGGGCGGCGGCCGGCGGGGCTTCTCCGCAGCTGAGTTGCGGGGGACGCCACGGCGAGGTCGGCGGCCCTTCCGAGGTAGGGCCCGAGGGCTCCGCAAGAAGAGCACCGTGCAGCCGGCCCCGGTGCCCCGGTCCAGATGGGCGTGGCCTGGGCCCCACTGGCCGATTTACCCCCTAGCTGGGGATGCACAAGGACATACAAGTACTATATGTCCTCCTTCAAGGCGTGCGTCCGACCCGAACATATAGTATAGCCATCTTGTAGTATATCGCTTCCCGAGCGGTGTGGCCAGAAAGCACCCGGCACGATGCACATACTATAAGATTTCTCGGTGCGCGCGTCGCCCCTGGGGGAGGGGCGACGCACACATAGTATTAGTGGGTTGGGATGACGCCGATAGATGGGGATGTAGGCCGTTTCCGTCGGGTTTCGAGGGGTGTATCTCCAACTGGGGCGCTGAGATGGTGAGGGTCTGGATGGGGATGGGGATGAGGGTAGGGGTCGTTTCAACGATACTGACAAGAGCTTCCTGGCCTTCCCAGACATCCTCGCGTCGCGAATGGCGACGGAAGGTTTTTCGCAGTCCATCGAGACAGCTCGCATCGTGGAAAACCGCCTCCGGGTGCTCTGCAATCAAGCCCCAGGACCGCGAAGAAACCACCCAGGATGAGACACTGGCCCCCTTGAAGGGGTCCGGACCTCTGGGAAGTCACGCTGTGGAAAAAACGCGACGTCGGATTTCTGTGGCTGCGCCATTCTCCAAGGCCTCAGGTCCCTTGCTCCTCGATCTCCTCGATCCTCCTCCATCCTCCTCCTCCATCCTCCTCCTCCTCCTCCTCCCTCCTCCTCCTCCCTCCTCCTCCTCCTCCTCCTCCTCCTCCTCCTCCTCCTCCTCCTCCTCCTCCTCCTCCTCCTCCTCCTCCTCCTCCTCCTCCTCCTCCTCCTCCTCCTCCTCCTCCTCCTCCTCCTCCTCCTCCTCCTCCTCCTCTCCTCCTCCTCCTCCTCCTCCCTCCTCCTCCCTCCTCCTCCTCCTCCTCCTCATCATCATCATCTTCCTCCTCGTCCTTGTGCTCGTCCTCGTCGTCGTTCTCGGCCTCCGCGGGTCCATCCTGGACGCTTCTTCGAGCTGCGTCTGGCCAGTGCGACGAGAACCTCAAAACCGCCCAACAAAAACCCCGAAACGACGAAGTCGTCGTCGTCGTCGTCGTCGTCGTCGTCGTCGTCGTCGTCGTCGTCGTCGTCGTCGTCGTCGGCGTCGTCGGCGTCGTCGTCGTCGTCTCAGGAGGCCTCTCAGACGGCAGAAGCCCTCCTGCCTTCTGCGAGGCCTTCTTAAAAGCGGATCTCTTCTGGGAATCCCTCTGCGTGCTTAGAAGAGCGCCGCCCCTCGCGCCACACAAAACGCCGACCTGCCCCACCCTCCCCCTCTCGGCATGAGGGAAAACAGAAGGGGGCCCTTCTTTGACTACGACCCACTCCCCGAGGAAGCCCCAACCGAAGAGACCGATGAGGAATAAGTGTAGGCCCAACTGGAACCAAAATACTCTTTGATACTAAATACATGGGTTGTTGCACTGTGGGGGGTGAAAGCTATGCAGTGCAAGCTCTGCAGCGTAAGCTATGCGGTGTGAGCTATGTTGTGTAAGCTGTGTTGTGCAACTTGCGAGGTGCAAGCCTTAGTGTGTAAGATATACGGCGTTAGCCATGTAGTGTGAGCTATGCGGTGTAAGCTGTGTGATGTGAGCTAGGTGGTGAAAGATATGCGGCGTGAGCTTTGCGATGTGAGCTGTGTGTAAGCTGTGGTGGAAGTTGTGCGGTGTTAGCTACTTACGCAAGCCGAATGATTTTCCTCTTGAGCCCGAAATATCGGAAACGACGCGCCGTTCAGGTGAGCGGATACATATAGCACTCTCTTCGGCTTGGGGTGTGCCATATGCTATGGGAAGAGATGCGGAAAATGGCCGGGCCCGCTGTAGACCCCCCCTCCCCCTCAGAATCATAGTTTTTTGTAGCAGATCCACAGCTCCGTGGATAGCATGATGCTTCACGTGCGGTGCCCCGCGGATCCCGTTTCCCCTAGGTCCAGGATGTTAAGTATCATTATTCGCTTATCCCCGGCAAATATAAATGGATCCATTGGTTTTCACACGGGGAATTGGATCCGCGCAAGACAGATATTGGATCAACGACACTGTTGCACACCCGAAAAAGGATCCAATTGGATGCATCGGTGTTTTCAGATGCTTAGTCCAAGAGGAAAAAATCGGCCTGGGGACGTACGTTGTCTAAGCTATGTGGTCCAAGCTATGCCGTGTAAGCGATGTGACGTGAGTAAAATGCTGTGAGCTATGCTGTGTAAGCTATACGATGTCAACTATGTCGTGCAAGCTATGCCGAGTAAGATACGTGATGTACGCTATGCGGTGTAGGCTTTGCGGCGCCCACGATGCGCCCACGAGGCGCCCACGAGCGGTCACGGGCGCCAGCGTGGCGAAACCTCGGAGAAACCCACCCAGCAAGCGCGTCGCCGACGAGGCGCCCACGAGCGGTCATGGGCGCGAACGGGGCGGAACCTCGGGAAGCCCACCCAGCAAACGCGTCGCCGACATGGCGCCCCACGAGCGGGCACGGGCGCGCAAGGGGCAAGACAGGGGGAAACCCATGCCAGCGGGCACGGGCGCCAGCGAGCGCGGCGCCGACATGGACCCCCACGAGCGGGCGCGGGCGCGAACGGGGCGGAACCTCGGGAAGCCCACCCCAGCAGACGGGGCGCCCACGATAGGTGCCCACGAGCGGGCACGGGGGCGCGACCGTGGCGGGACCTCGGGAGACCCATCCGATCGCGCAGGCAAGACAGGTATAAAGTTGAAGGCCTCCTGGATGGGCTCCGAAGAGATGGGATCTAAGGATCGCGCCGCATCGGCAAGGCATCGCCGATGTTTCGGCGATGCATCGGCGACGCATCGCCGATGTTTCGGCGATGCATCGGCGACGTCGCCGTGGTCCAACCCTGGCTCCGCATCGAGCCGCATCGCCGATGCATCGGCGACGCGACGCGATCGTCCGGCCCCACCTGCTCGGGCCCATCCAGGAGGCCCCTGAAGGTGGGAACCCCGAGGTGCAAGCGCTCTGCTTAGGGGAGCCACTCGCCAGGGCGAACCAAACCATCTCACATTTGTGCCCGTCGGCCCTTCCCGAAGCGCCTTAGGCCGGGAGCGGGCCCGGGGAAAAGGCGGCCGGCGGGCGCCGCAGGGCGTGTGCTCCCGAGGCGCGCGGCCAGCTCGCGGCAGGGCGCGCGTGCCCGTGCATCTGCGGCAGGCCCTGGGGCAGGAAAAAGCGTGCCTCCAGGAACATGCGACTCTCCGCTGGCCAGACTGCAGAACCCTCGAGGGTAGACGTGCTTCAAGGACATGCGACCCTCCGCTGGCCAGACTGCAGAGCACTCGAGGGTAGACGTGCCTCAAGGACATGCGGCTCTCCGCTGGCCAGACTGCAGAGCACTCGAGGGTAAACGTGCTTCAGGGACATGCGACTCTCCGCTGGCCAGACTGCAGAACGCTCGAAGCTGCCCCCCCCACCAGGATGCACGAGAGCATCCAACGAGCTCGGAGAACAGCAGGGTACCCTCCCCGAACCGACCTCGACCATTGTACCTCCGTCCCACCGTAGCCGTCACTTCCCGAGTCACCAACGGCGACGAGCGGGCCTGCGCGGACAGAAAAGAGCGGACGGCGGCGGGCCCCGACGTCTCCCCGAGATCATCGCTGCCCCCGGCGGAGGCAGGAGGTGCGCACGGATCCTCGTGGGCGGCGCGCTCCGCGAGGTTGCGGTCCGTTCGGGGCGGGTGGGCAGCCGCCGTATTCCGCCAGGGTAGGCTAGGTGCGTGAGCGAAGATATCGGAATTGCGTTGCAGGGCGCGCCAGCGCGGGGGCAGGCGGGTGCGATACAAGCACGGCGAGGCTCTCTGGGATTTTGCCGGAGAGGGGCTGGGAATGAAAGATCGGAAGGGGGCCCCGAATGGACAAAGGGCTCTGAAGGAAATGGTTCCTGGACCCGGGTGCTCCCCCCGGCACTCTCCCCAGGACCGGTCCTGAGCTGTTTTTGGACAGCCCCAAAGCATGGGAAGAACCCGTAGACCCCGAAAGCAGAGGAACGGAAACCTGTTCGCTCAGAACAAAAACCTCGGAAGCCCTGTTCGTTCGGAGCAAAATCCTCGGGAGCCCGGTTTGCTCGGAACAAATACCTCAGGAGCCCTTCAAAAACATCGGGAGCTCTTTTTGCTCGGAGCAAAACCCTCGGGAGCCCTGTTTGCTCGAAGCAAAGAAAAACCTCGGGAGCCCTGTTCATTCGGAGCAAAAAACCCTTGGGAGTCCTGTCCCTTCGGAGCAAAAACCTCGGGAGCCCTGCCTCTTCGGAGCAGAAGCCTGAGGTCCGCGCGGACTCTTTAGGTCGGCTCCGACCGGACCCCCCCTCCTCGCGCCCCTGCCCCTGGCCATCGCTCGGACGTCCATTCCCTGTGCTTTTTTCGGCTTCGTGCGTGGTTTTTTCGCCAAATGATCAAGGATGACCCTCGATGGTCCTCGCCGAAGGAAAAACGCACACGTCCGAGCGATGCCAAGGCCACGGAGCGCTGAGCGCGCTACCTCCCCGGGGCAGACGTCGTGGGTCGGCGCTGCCCCCGAAGAGCCCCCCACCATCCTTGGGAGGGCGCCCCCCTCGCGCCACCCGCTGGCGCGCGCCGCCACCCACGAGGGGGGCGAGGACGAGGGGAGGGGGCGGAGGAGGAGGAGGAGGAGGAGGAGGAGGAGGAGGAGGAAGACGAGGGGGAGGAGGAGGAGGAGGAGGAGGAGGAGGAGGAGGAGGAGGAGGAGGAGGAGGAGGAGGAGGGGGAGAAGGAGGAGGAGGAGGAGGAGGAGGAGGAAGACGAGGAGGAGGTGGGAGAAGGAGAAGGAGGAGGAGGACCGAGAAATAAAAACATCACCACCATCATCGCCTCGGGTGGGCGCGAGCCAGCTCACCCGGCTGCGTTTCCCAGCGCCTCCTCCCCGCCCCTCCCGAGGCCATCCACGGCGACGGCAAAACCGAAAAAACGACCGACTCGACAGCAGCACCGAAACCGACCAAAATCGACTGGCGGCGGACAGCCTGGAAGGTCGCGGCGACGCCGCATCGACACAGCAACCGACCGAACAGAGCCGACCGAACGCAGCCGACTGCGACGCAGCCGAACCGACCGAACCACGGAGCACGCCGGAGCACGCCCCTGCCCCCCCCCCCCCCACGGGGGAGGAGAACCTCCGCCGCCCCAGTGGCCGCGGCTGCCGCCGGCGCGGCCGCCGCGGCGGGCGCAGCGGCGCGCGCACCTGCGGGAGGGTCGGGGGGGGGGGTGGCGGTGGCGGCTCGAGCAGGCTGCCAGATGTCCCCAGGCGGACAGCGTCTCGAGGAAGCCGGGGCAGACTCTCTTTCCTTCGCCTCCGGCCTCCGGGGGGCATCGCCAAGCCACACGGGCGAGAAACAGATCCGTATCCGCGGCCTCGCGGACTGGACCCCTGGGCCGCGACACCACGCATACGGTGCATTTTTAATCGCGGACGACCCGCGCGGAGCGTATCCGTTGGGGATCCCAAAACCGTGTGGTGACAGACCGTGCGGTGACCTCGGAACCCCAAGAGACCTCACCGCACGGTCCGTCACCGCACGGCCTTGGGACCCTGGAGGCCTCTGTCGCCCGAGACATCCTCGGAGAGGGACTCGAGTCCCAAAAACCATACCGTGACCCCGAATCCCCACTGACTCACCACACGGTGTGGTCACCACCCCGTTTGAGGGCCCCCGAATCCGTGCGACCGCGCATCCACGGGAGCGCGCCTCGGAACGCAGACCGCGAGGGCGCGGATACGGACACGCGCGTCGCTCGTGCAAGCCCATCGCGTCATCAAGAAACGACAGCACGGGGTGAGAGGCCAGTCGCGGGAAGAGGGAGAGGGAGGAGGAGGAGGAGGAGGAGGAGGAGGAGGAGGAGGAGGACGAGGAGGACGAGGAGGACGAGGAGGACGAGGAGGACGAGGACGAGGACGAGGACGAGGACGAGGAGGAGGAGGAGGAGGAGGGAGGAGGAGGAGGAGGAGGAGGGGGAGAGGAGGGAGGGAGGAGGAGGAGGAGGAGGAGGAGGAGGAAGGAGGAGGCGGAGGAGGAGGAGGAGGGTCGAGGAGGGGCGAGAGAGAGAGAAGGGGGCGCACCCTCCTCCTCCTCCTCCTCCTCCTCCTCCTCCTCCTCTCCTCCTCCTCGGGAAGAGGGTCGTGCCGACACCCGACTGTGTAGTTGTCTCGGTGCGTGGCTAGCCAGAGGTCCCCCGACCGCTTCTTCTCTGGGGGGGGCAAAAGGTCCTCCCAACTCTGACGTTCCTGGGGCCCGCTTCAACGGGCCCAGGGACCGAACTCGAGGAAAAATGCCAAGACTGAAAAATCATGCTGTCCTGGTCCTCCTCCTCCTCCTCCCTCCTCCTCCTCCTCCTCCTCCTCCTCCCCCTGCTCTTCCTCCTTCCCCTCCCCCTCCCCCTCCGTGGCTCCGGAGGTCCTTGGCTCCAGAGGTCCCTGGCTGCAGGCCCTACCTGTTCTGATGGTGCTGGGTCCCGACAACGGGCCCAGGGTTATGTCGGGCATCTCCTCTTACAGCCGGATTTTGGAAGAAAAACAAAACGTTGTCCAAAAATAAAGGGAAATGGCCAAGAAATAACGAAAGTTCGTCACCAGACTATTTGTAGTCTTGTTCCTCCTGTAGAGGAAAATCCCCGACTTCAGCCCAGGGGCCGTACTCGAAGAGAAATACCAAGACTGAAAAATCATGTCGTCGGACAGGTTGAGGAAACCTGTTGGTTTCGTGCGCTTGCTGGTTTCTTGCGTTCGTTGCGTTCGGTGGTCAAGATGAGCCCAAATGAAAACGTTGAAGGGCTAGCTGGGGAAACCAGCAAGGTGCATTTAAGCTGAAGGACCGCACTAAACAGCAATGAACTCAAAGGATCGCCGTGCTTCGTACCTCGACGAAGGCTGAATGAACGACTGGTAGTGTCAGTTCGCACGGCTGCTTCTTGCCTATGGTAGAGACGTTGCATGAGATGTACGTGGCCTGGCTCAACACATTGCGCACACAAAGCGATGGAGTCGAAGGCTTGTTTAGTCAAGCGCAACAGCCCATCACTGGGAACACGAAAAGGCACCGATACTGCTACTCCCGGGACCTCTCTTAAACTACGCTCTGACCAGAAATTCGAGGCGAATCTAGCAGTGGCAAAGAGAGCGTCCCAGGAGGCCCAGCGAGGCGAAAACGAAGCGGCAAGGGTAGCGGTATGGGTACCTTTTCCTCCTTTGATCGGCGGCGCGCACAGGAGGGAAGTGAGAGGGGGCGGGCCTTCTCAAAGGCTTGGAAGTCCCTGCGCACCCTGAGCCTTCCCCGAAGGCACGGGAAAGTTCTCGGACGGCCAGAGGGCTTCTGGAAAGCTCCGCCGCCTTCTGAGAGGGCCTCCTCCTCCTCCTCACTTCGCCCCTTCGCTCGCCGCTGGCAGAAGTCCGCGAAGCGCGCCGCTGAGCCTGCGACGCGGCCCACGGGGGAGAGGTCTCAGAGCCCGGGGCGCGGACCACGCGCAGGGGGCGGCGGAGCGGAGAGCTGTGCACGTCCGCCGCCTCTGGCCAGGCCCATCCCCTCCTCCTCCTCCTCCTCCTCCTCCTCCTCCTCCTCCTCCTCCTCCTCCTCCTCCTCCTCCTCGTCCTTCTCCTCCTCCTCCAGTCCCTCCTCCTCCTCCTCCTCCTCCTCCTCCTCCTCCTCCTCCTCCTCCTCGTCCTCGTCTCGTCCTCGTCCTCCCCTCCTCCTCCTCTCCTCCTCCCTCCTCCTCCTCCTCCTCCTCCTCCTCCTCCTCGTCCTGCGCCGCCGCCGCCTCCACCTCCGCCTCCGCCTCCGCCTCCGCCGCCGCTGCCGCCGCCTCCGCCTCCACCTCCGCCTCCGCCTCCGCCTCCGCCTCCGCCTCCGCCTCCGCCTCCTCCTCTGTGCGCGCGCCTCCCTGGGCGAGGAGACAGCGGTAGGTGTTGGCGGCGCGCACGAGGGGGGTGGGGGAGGAGAGAGGGCTTCTTGGAGGGAGGCTGCTTCTCGGCGCCCTCACATCTGTAGAGGGGGCCGCGCCTTCTAAAAGAAGCAGGGGTGCTTCTAAGAAGCCTCCCCCCCTCCACTACACCCCTCTCCAACTACACGAAAGAGAAGCCCTGGCTACGCGTGACCATTGGTTCGCGGCTTTCTGGTGGCCGCGGGGGGGCCAAAGACAAGCGCGCAAGACTGCGATCGGGGGTCCCCATTGGGCCCGCACCAAAAGTCACCC